GGACTCCGAGAAATAAACTAAGGGTTTTAGAGGGGAGGGGGGTGAAGGGATGGGTTAGCCCAGTGATGGGTATTAAGGAGGGCACGTATTGCATGGAGCACTGGGTGTTATATGCCAACAATGAATCATGGAACACGACATCAAAAACTAATGATGTAATGTATGGTGACTAGCATAACTAATAAAAAAATAAAATAAAATAAATTAAAAATAAATAAATAAAAGCAGCAAGAGAGAAGCTACTAGTTACATACCAGGGAAACCCCATAAGACTAGAGCTGATTTTTCAGCAGAAACTTTGCAGGCCAGAGGGGAGGGACATGATAGAGTCAAAGTTTTGAAAGGAAAAACAACCCCTACAACCAAGAATACTCTACCCAGCAAGATTACCATTCAGAAGGGAAGAAAAGATAGTTTCCCAGACAAACAAAAGTTTTAAAAGTTCATCCGCACTAGGGGCACCTGGGTGGCACAGTCAGTTAAGAGTCTGACTCTTGGTTTCAGCTCAGGTCGTGATCTCAGGGTTGTAAGATTGAGCCCTGTGTGAAGCTCTGTGCTTAGCACAGAGTCTGCTTGAGATTCTCTCTCCCTCTCCTTCTGCCCCCTCCCCACACATGTGCATGCACTCTCTCTCTAAAATCTATCAATTAATCAATCAGTTTTTTTTTTTAAAGATTTTATTTATTTATTTGAGAGAGAGAATGAGAAAGAGAGAACACATGAGAGGGGATAGGGTCAGAGGACGAAGCAGACTCCCTGCCAAGCAGGGAGCCCGATGCGGGACTCGATCCAGGGACTCCAGGATCATGACCTGAGCCGAAGGCAGTTGCTTAACCAACTGAGCCACCCAGGCACCCTAATCAATCAGTCTTAAAAAAAAGTTCATCACCATTAAACCGGCCTTGTGAGAAATGTTAAAGGGACTTCTTTAAGTGGAAAAGAAAAGGCCATAATTAGAGATGAGAAAATTCTGGAAGGAAAAAATTTAATGAGTAAAAGCAAACATACAGTAAATGTAGTAGAGCAATCACTTACAAAGCTAGTATGAAGATTAAAAGATAAAAATAATAAAATCAGTTATATGTAAAGAATTAGTTATGGGGGCTCACACAGTAATTAGATGTAAAATAGGGCAATATATACATAAAATGTGGAGAGGGGAAATAAAAAGGAAGTTCTTTTAGAATGCATTCAAACTTAAGTGATCATCAACTTAATATAGACTACTATATATTTAGGATGCTATATATGAACCTCATATAAACCTGTAATGGATACACAAAAAATAAAGAGAAAGAAGGCACAACATTAAAGAAAGCCATCTATTACAAGGAAAGAGAACAAAAGAAGAAGAAAGGAACAGAGAAGGACTACAAAACAACCAGAAAACAATTAACAAAATGGTAATAAGTACATATATATCAATAATTACTTTAAATGTAAATGATCTAAATGCTCCGATCAAAAGACATAGGGTAACAGAATGATTAAAAATAACAAGACCCATCCATATGCTGCTTACAAGAGACTCACTTCAGACCTAAAGAAACATACAGACTGAAAGTGAAAGGATAGAAAAAGATATTCCATGCAAATGGAAGCAAAAAAAAAAAAAAAGTTGGAGTAGCAATACTTATATCAGACAAAACAGACTTTAAACTAAGACTGTAACAAGAGACAGAGAGGGCATTACCTAATGATAAAGGGAGAAGTTCAATAAGAGGATATAACACGGTTGGTGGGAATGTAAATTGGTGCAGAAAACACCATGGAGTTTCCTCACAAATTAAAAATAGAGGGGCACCTGGGTGGCTCAGTCACTTGAGCATCTGACTCTTGATTTCAGTTCAAGTCATGATTTCAGGATCCTGGGGTTAAACCCCACATTTGGCTCCATGTTCAGCAGGGAGTCTGCTTGAGGATTTCCCTCCCTCTGCCTCTGCTCCCACCCCCCACTTGTGCTCACACTCTCTCTCTAAAATAAATAAATAAAATCTTTAAAAAATTAAAAATAGAAATACCATATGATCCAGTAATTCCACTACTAGATATTTACCCAAAGAAAACAAAAACACTAATTCAAAAAGATGTATGCACCCCTATGTTTATTGTAGCATTATTTACAATAGCCATGATATGGAAGCAACATAATGTCCACTGATAGATGAATGGATAAAAGATGTGGTATGTGTATAATATATATGTATGTATATGATGTATATTTATAACGGAATGTTACTCAGCCATAAAAATAGAATGAGATTTTGCCATTTGTGACAATCTGGATGGACCTAGAGGATATTATGCTAAGTGAAATAAGTCAGACAAAGACAAATACCATACATTTTCACTTACATGTGGAATCTAAAAAGCAAAACAAAAAGGAGAAATAGATCCAATAAATACAGAAAATAAACTGACGGTTGTCAGAGGTATAGGCTTCCATTTATGGAATGAATAAGTCATGAATTAGAGAAGTACAGCATGAGGAATATAGTCAATGGTGGTGTACTAGCATTGTATGGGGACAGTAGCTACACTTGTGAGCACAGCATAACGTATAGAGCTGTTGATTCACTATGTTGTATACCTGAAACTAATGTAATATTGTGTGTCAACTATTTCTCAATGAAAGAAAGAAAAAGCAAGCACTGATAAATGATTGACTACTACATCTGAAATTAATGATGTACTACATATTGGCTAATTGAATTTAAAAAAAGAAAGAAAAGGCAATCCTAAAATTCATATGGAAACACAGAAGGCCCTTAACAATCAAAGAATTTTTGAACAGAAACAAAGCTGGAGGCGTCACATCTTTTGATGTCAGAATATATTACAAAGATACAGTATGGTACTAGTATAAAAACAGACATGCAGCCCAATGGAGCAGAATAACAATAAACTCAGCATACACAGTCACTTGATATTGGACAGTGGTGCCATGAATTCATATTAGTGGGGACAGGATAGTGTCTTCCATGAATGGTGTTGTGGAAAACTGGATATTGACATGTAAAAGAATGAAACTGGAAACACCTTACGATGTACACAAAAATCAACTCACAAAGTCTTAAAGACTAAGATATAAGATCTGAAACAAAGAAGCAGAGAACAGAATGGTATTCGCCAGATGCTGGGGTGTGTGGGAAATGGGGTCATATTTGTCAAAGAGTACGAAGTTTCACTTATGTGAGGTCAATCTGTTCTAGGGATCCACTGTATAGCATAGTGTCTATAGTTACAATATCGTACTATATATTGAAAATTTGCTATTAGTAGGTCTTCTATTGAGTGTTATCACAAAAATAATGAATAAAAAGGGCAGGAGAAAGTTTTAGGAGATGATGGATATGTTTATTGCATGGGTTGTGGTACTGATGTTTGGATGTGTACTTATCAGATTCGTCAACTTTTATATATTAAATATGTACAGCTCTTTGTTAATCATACCTCAATAAAGTTGGGGTTTTTTAGATTTTATTTAAATTCAAGTTAGTTAACATATATTGTATTATTAGTTTCAGGAGTAGAATTTTGTGATTCATCACTTGCATAAAGTTGTTTTAAGAAAAATCCTTCAGATGTGCCATTGAACATGTTTCCAGAGATGTTTTATTGCTTCTCTTTGACTGTCTAGACCCTAATCTTCTCCTTTTCCAATTAAACGGGAAAGATGATGTTTCCTTGTCTCTCTGAGAATCCTTTCCATCCCCCTTTCATTGCAAACAGAAAAGTTAAAGTTAAGCCCCAAAGAATTATAAACAGGATCTTGAGATATTTGCACACATATGTTCACTGCAGCACTATTCACAATAGCCAACCCACGGAAACAAACTAAATGTCCATCAGTGGATGAATGGGTAAAGAAAATGTGGCATATACATACACAGAATATGATTCATCCATAAACAGAGGAAATCCTGCTAGAGGCTACAACAGATGAATCTCAAGGACATTTTGTTAAATGAAATAAGGCAGTCACAGAAGGACAAATACCTCACAATTCCACTTATATGAAATATATAAAATATTGAAATAATAAAACAATAAATAGAATGGTGGTTACCAGGGACCAGGGAGAAGGAATATGGGAGATTGCTGTTCAATGGGTATCGAGTTTTAATCATGCAAGATGAAAAAGTTTTAGAATCATTGTACTTACAGTTAACAATACTGTATCATACAGTTAAAAATTTAAGAAGCTGGATTTCATAATATGTGTTAATTTTAAGATGTCTTGATTTTTCTCTTATTAATACTAAAGTTCCTTGAAACACAGAATTCTGACCCTTACTGCTATTCAGGATCAAGCATCATGACTAGCACATTATAATTTTTTGATAAATAATGTATATGTTCATGACATGATGAATGGTTTACTTAATGATCCACAGCAATATCTGCCTTCCAGACCCAGGGTGGGGGAAAAAAAAGACTTCTCTGAGGCATTTCCACTCAGCCATGCTCTTGGAACTTGTAATAAGTAGAATTTAAACTCCACAAAGCAGAGATTTGGACTATTGTGGCCAATGCCAAATCTCCTGGAGAGAGCAGAAGGGGCCCAGGGAAGCACGCAGTAAATACCGATAATGAAAGAGTGTATGACCAACTTAACATGCTCTAGTCTGCATGGTCACTAAGCCTCCCTTCTACTGGTCTTACTATCCTCAAAAAAGGCCGTCAGAATATGAATGTAAAGAAATGGCTTCATTTGGGTTACTTTCTCTAACAAATACACAATCTTTATGATTGTAAACACTAAGAGCTCTCTGCTCCTGTTGAGTAAAAATATCTGTGTTCAGTTCCCAGCAACAGGATATTCTCTCTTTATATTAACTCAGACAATATGGATGGCCGCTGAGACCAGGACAATGAGGTAAGAAGACCCGAAGCCAGACCCGTGTCCCCACCCTTTATTCACTTTATGGACACCAACCAGTGCCTAGGTCAGGTCACCGGTTCCCTACATCCCATAACCCACTCCCATTCCTGTTCACCTCTATGGTGAGGGCTTCTCCAGCATTCTTCCTTCCATTCCTATGTGCAGCTTTTCTCAGTGCCTTTAAGCCCTCCTCGAATTTGTTGGTGATAACCAGCCACCGAGCAGACTCTACCAGCCACCTGATCAAAGAAGACAGAGGTGCAGCCAAGTCTCTCATGTGTCCATACTCTTTGTCCTGAAATGCCTCTCCCTTCCCATCTAATACCTACCTCTTGTTCTGTTATACCAGAAAACACAAACTTACATTCTCTTGTACCGTGACTAAAAAACTGGGAGGATGGCCTCTCTGTGCAGTACATTTTCACCACTGGCAATATAGAGCGGGAGTCATATTGCCCCCTCACTCTTATTCTGGGGAATATTTTCAGGTTTGGCAAATAGAAATAGTGTCTAGTTAAATCTGAATTTAGATGAACAGTGAATATGAGTAATTGTTGAGTATAACCATCTCCCATGCGGTATTTTGGACCTACTTACACTGAGAAGTATTTGTTGTTTGTTTGAAATTTTACTTGAATGAGACACCCTGTATTCTATCAGGCTAGTAAGTAAAAATAGAGAACTCTCAGATAAATAGAAATTTCATATAAACTATGAAAAATTTTTAGTGTAGCTATGCTCCATGCAATATTTGGAATATTATACAAAAAAAAATTGTTTACCTGAAATTCAAACTGAACTGAGTGTCCTTGATATTATCTGGTAACCCCACCTGTTCAGCTTCGTGAAGCGTACAAAGGACACTTATTAGGAGAGCATGTGCTCAAGTTCTTAACTAAGAACCAAACAGAATTCTTAGGACCTGATTCCATGTATCTTGCATCCCAGGATCCTCTAAGACAAAGGAAAAAAGAAAGCTTTTACCTTGAGAAAAGAAAGGAGACAAATAACGGTACAGAAACCACCAGCTGCAGGGTGTGCCAGTCTGGAATGGCAAAAGCCAGTCCTCCCAGGATCATCTGTCCTACACAAGCAGTACAGACTGCCACTGTTATTCCCATGGCTTGGCATCGGGGCACTGTCCATTCTATGCCTGAAAGAAAACACGAACAGGATTTTGACTTCAGAGTAGGAATCTCAAAGTCAAAGTCAAGGCTTGGAAAATGTCAGAGATGCGAAGTGTTTACTTACACAGCATAATAGTATTTGTCATGATGTTCGTGGTAGAGCAGCCAGCCAGGAAACGTAGCACGCAGTAAATGACGAAGGTGGGAGCAAAGCCCACGCAGGTGTCAGCAACGGCCAGCTGCAGGAGGCACCACCTGAGAATTAACTTCCTCCCAAACCTGAGGAACGGGAACCGGTTAGATGGGGGAATAAGAACGACCGGATGGGAAAATTAACAAAAGAAGGTACGCTTCGAAATTTAGCATGGGTTTTAGTAAGTGAAACTTTGCCCTTGAAACTTTAAAGAATCAACAGCTAGTCAACAGGAGATCTTCCCAGAAGCAACCCACCTGTTTGTAAATAGAGACTGAGTATAACGAAACTTCTTCCCCAGTCTGTTACCAGATCTTTGAGACCAACTGAAGCCATATGAGACCAGTTGCAATACTGGAAATTTTAACACATCACACGTGTCCCTTGTACTAACACAAGCACTTAACACAGTGGAGTCTGTGCCGTGTCTAGAACACGAGGGAGCTGCTATGGACTGTGTCCCCTGCCTCCACCCCAATTCATATATTGAAGATCTAATACCCAGTGAAATGGTATTTGGAGATGGGCTTTGAGGGAGCTAATTAGGTTTCGATGAGGTCATGAGAATGGGGTCCTTATGATGGGGTTATGCCCTTATGAGAAGAGAGATTGCTCTCCTCTTCCTGCCATGTGAGGCTATATAGCAAGAAGGCAGCTGCCTTGAAGTCACGAAGACAGCTCTCACCAGGACCCAAATCTCTCTGCACCTAGATCTTGGACCTCCCAGCTTCCAGAACTTGAAAAAATAAATTTCTGTTGTTTAAGCCACCTGGTCTCTGGTGTTTCGTTGTGGTAGCCTGAGCTGACTAAGACAAGATCTAAATCTGTACTTGGTACTCTAGGACCACACAGGTCATGGATAAACTACATGAAAGGAATATCCAAGGAGCAATACAGCAAAGTTGCTGATGGGTTGCATTAGAGGCCCTCTTTGCTATGTCTGGCTTTATAGGCCTTGAACAACATGTTTCCCTAAAATAATAAGTGAACAACTCAGAGAACTTAGAATGAGTTCTCAGAGGAAAGGATTAGGTGAGATGAGCATAAAGAAACAGAGAAGGAGAAGGTATTTTAATTTTATTTTTTAAAAGATTTTATTTATTTATGGGGCACCTGGGTGGCTCAGTTGGTGAAGCATCTGCCTTCGGCTCAGGTCATGATCTCAGGGTCCTGGGACGGAGCCCCGCATTGGGCTCCCTGTTCAGCGGGAAGCCTGCTTCTCCCTCACCCACTCCCCCTGCTTGTGTTCCCTCTCTCACTGTCTCTCTCTGTGTCAAATAAATAAGTAAATAAATAAAATCTTTAAAAAAAATAAAAGATTGTATTTATTTGAGAGAGAGAGAGTGAGCACGAGAGAGAGAGAGAGTGGCAAGCAGAGGGGAAGGGAGAAGCAGACTCCCCACTGAGCAGGGAGCCTGACAAGGTATTTTTAAAAAGGAAGGAGAATTCTGTGTTTCACAGTTGTCTGGGAGAGAGGGCCTTTCTCTGGACAACGTGGATGATTCTGTGCTGATTCTGTATGACCAGCAGTGGACAAAACAGAGGGATTGGAAAAAAAAACCTGCAATCCTTGCTATGCTTGCAGAATATTTCCATTATAACGCAGTGTTAAGTCTTTTATATTCTGAGTATTTATATTACATACATTTGTATTTCCATTTAAAATGGAATAAAATCTATGTAAAGAAACGCTATGATTAATGAAATGATGTAATGACTATTATTGGAAAGTCTGGTCAGTCAAAATGAAAAGCAGCTGTATTAAAGATATATCAGGTAGTGATATCTAGTGGTGCCTGAGTGGCTCAGTCGGTTAAGTGTCTGCCTTTGGCTCAGGTCATGATCCCAGGGTCCTGGGATTGAGCCCCAAGTCGGGCTCCCCGCTCAGCAGGGAGTCTGCTTTTCCCTCTCCCCCTGCTCATGATATCTCTCAAATAAATAAACAAAATAGAAATCTTTAAAATGTAGTGATATTTAGAGCGGCAGGCATTTGGTAACAATCTGGTTGTCCATCACTGAAAAATGGATGAAGAGCATCGTCATGGATCTTCACTGAGGAGCACTATGCAGCAATTAGAAGAATGAACTAGAAGTACACGTAGGAATGTGTATAGACCTCAAAAAACATAGCATTGAGTGTACAAAAGAAAAAGAATGAGATAATAACACATTTACATACATATGTGAATTAAAATATATGTAAACCAAACAATGTCATTTATTTTGAAAAACATATGAATTTAAAGAAATATAGTTAATGCATTATAATGACCCCTATTGGGAAGAAGGAAATGGGATTGGGGCATAAGGAAAAAATGAAACATATACATAGATACATGAAAGGAATTCATGGCCAAACTAATGAGGACTCTGTCTCATGAAATGAGTATAACTCAACCATCTGTGGTTGATATCAAAGGAAAAGAAATTTGTGCTGGCAAAATATAAAAATTATTGTTTCATTAATTATTAATTGTGCACTTTGGCTGTATGTTCACCATTGCTTTTTTTTTTTCCAAATGCAGAGGAAGATGACTCTTCCCAGCCTTATATTTAAGTTAGAGTCACACGTCTGCATTCTGACCATGGGTTGCAGACAGAAGTGACCAAGGCCACTTCTAGCCCTGTCCATACAAGGTCCACTTGGGTCCTGCTCATTCTCTCTGACAACATGGCTGGAAACAAAAAACGTGCAGATGAAAAAGTCACACAATGGAAGATGCTCAGAGGATGGGGGCCATGTGACCCACACCACACTGTGAGGACAGTGAGAGTCATGATTTTATTAAAATCCCAATTTTGAATCTAGGGTTCTTACTGTAACTAGCTACCTTGGCTAACACAGTAATGTTTGAATGATTGTATTTGATGAAGATAACTAGAGAAGCTTTGTATGTTTTCTTTTTTGGTATAGGTTTCTCAAATTTATTTGAAAAAAATATTTGAGGGGCTTCTGGGTGGCTCAGTTGGTTAAGTGTCCCACTCTTGGTTTTGGCTCAGGTCATGATCTCAGAGTTGTGAGGCTGAGCCCCAAGTCAGGCTCTATGCTGGTGGTGGAGTCTGCTTAAGATTCTTTTTCTCCCTCTTCCTCTGCCCCTCCCCCCAAGACTGTCTAAAAAAAATTTTTTTTAATTGGAAAAGAAAACGTGATGTAGAACTGTAAACATATGCATAAAAAGAGGTTACAAAATTACATATACACTTTTACCAATTTTATTTAAAACATATATTTCTGATGTATGTGGCTCCCACTTCGGTGGACTTGTTCTTAGCGCTTTATTTTGAAAATTGTCAAACATGAAAGTTTAAATGAATACTGTAATGAACATTGCTATAAATCTCAAGTGGATTCACCACTAGATAGCATTTTGCTATATTTGCCTTATTTCTTTGCCTTGTGAACACACACGCACACACACCCCAAACACACCCCCCCACACACAAACTCCTTTCTATTGAACCATCTGAATGACAGTTACAGACGACATGACACATCACTCCTAATTTTTTTAGCATGCATGTATAAAAAATATAAGTAGTTTCTAGGGGTGCCTGGCTCACTCAGTTGGTTAAGTGTCTGACTCTTGATTTTGGCTCAGCTCATGATCTCAGGTTCTTGAGGTCAAGCCCCGTGGCAGTCTCCGTACTCAGCGGGGAATCTGCTTCAGATTCTCTCTTTCCCTCTCCCTCTGCTCTTTCCCCCCCTCTCAAATAAATAAATGAAACTTTAGGATCTCCTTGCTTGGCCATATATTCCCCTTTAATGGGAGGGTCATGGGAAGATGGCGGCTTGGGTATTTATTAGCTGAGTGTAATAATGTGCTTTTAGGTACAAAAGTTTTTAATTTTTGATGAAGACCAGTCTATCTATCAATTTTTTCATCACTCATGCTTCTGGTGACATATCAAAGAATTCATTGCCAAACCCGAAGTCATATAGATTCACCCCCCCATTTTATTTTAAGAGTTTTATGGTTTTAGGGGCACCTGGGTGGCTCAGTCGTTAAGTGTCTGCCTTAGGCTCAGGTCATGATCCCAGGGTCCTGGGATCGAGCCCCGCATCAGGCTCCCTGCTCAGTGGAGAGTCTGCTTCTCCCTCTCCCACTCCCCCTGCTTGTGTTCCCTCTCTCGCTGTGTCTCTCTCTGTCAAATAAATAAATAAAATCTTTTTTTAAAAAAAAGAGTTTTATGGTTTTAGCTCTTGTATTTAAATCATTAACCCATTTTTGTTAATATTTATTATGGCTTTAGGTAAGGATCCAACTTTATTATTTTGCATGTGGATATCCAGTTGTCATGGTGCCCGTTGTGGAAAGGGCTATATTTTACCAGCTGAATGATCTTGGCACTCTTTTCAAAAAATGAATCAGCCGCAGAGATATGGTTTTATTTTTATTTCTGTAAGTGGGTGGTTCTGTGTTATGGAACTGTTAGAAATGGACACTCTGACTGGAAACACTTTTATAAGCTACATTTATGCCGTCATCCCTTCAGAGTTCACAGTTTTGAGCTAACATAACAGATGACGTTGTGCTGGTAGGTGGTAAGGGGAACCTGAATTCTCCATATCCCTCAGAGGAGACATCCCTGGAGCTGGCAATTGGCTGTCTAATTCAGAAGTGATACTGTCAAGCACAGGATACTCCAATTTCTAAACACCACAAATGGTGACGGCAGTTGTCATTAGATTAATTACATGGTTTAAAACGTACCTTCAAAGCGCTGTTTTTGCAAAAAAAAAAAAAATCAAGGTCACTGGAAAAATGTTTTCTATACACCATCAAGACACATGGCTATGGACACAACAGGTGTAGTAGGGATGTTCACCCATCACACTTGGGAAACAGGGACATGGTGATCATGCTCTGGAAATCCATAAGCATTCAGTTCACAGCGTCCAGGAGGGACTGAACACGGCCCCCTGGCCAAAGTCTGCAACACTGTTTTACGTATTTGTGTCTTCAAATAGGCTGAATCTTATGTCATGAAACATCCTCTCTGTTCCCACAGGTAACTTTTCCCCATCTTCCTAAACCACGTGCTGTGTCACCTCCTCTCTAAACCCTGTTCTAAAATGTCCCCATGTCTGATGGAGATGCTGTTTCTATGCCCTTACATGGCACTCACAGCTGACAGAGCTTGCTATACTGACTGTGATCCCCCATGTGTTTCTAGATCCCTGGGGACCAAGGAAGCCCGGGACAGTGTAATTGACAATAGGTGTGTCTTACTGGAAGAATGATGTGTTGGTTCAACAAAATACCCCAGTGATCCAGAGACACTCACCTGTCTGATAAATGGCCAAATATTGTGCCTCCCACCAGCATTCCAGCCATGAATAAGAATTTGGCCATTGATTTCAGTGACTGAGATTCACATATCAGGTCCCACTGGAAGAGAAGGAAACCAACAAAGGAGCGCAGCATAGTGGCTTATAAGCCCTCAGTGGAAACCTGACTGAAACAGCTTGAATGACACCAGTTTCTTTATATCGGGCCCCCTTCTTCCTCTACAGCTTCCTTTTTTTTTTTTTTTTTTTTTTTTGCATTAGCTGACCTTTATCATTCAAGTATCAGGTTAAATACAACTTCCTCTAGGAAGACTCATCTAAACCTGTTGGCTATATTAATGCCTTGTTTTATTTCATATGAAGTGATTCTCAACCTTGGCTACAGAATGCAATCATCTGAAAAGCTTTAAACATTTACTGATGGCAGAGTTTCACCGCAGATCTCTTATGGCTGCTCAGGGGTACAATCTGTGCTTGGAGGTTTTGATCAATATCTCGATGTTTCTCATTCGCAAGCATAACATTTTCAACACATTACATAAAATACTTGCTTAGACTTTGGTCTTCCTAAGAATAAAAGCCATATAATTGCAAGGTCACATCTACTTTTTAGTTCTTAGACTCATTAAATATGTAGATTAGTGGCATTTAACACTTATACAGTGATTAAAGGCTTGAAGCATGTTCATTATTTGTGCTGCCTCTAAACCCCCAGAGTGTGTACTCACAAGAGGTAAATAGAGCCTCTTACCTTAGTCACGATGGTGGAAGGGAAGGAGCTTTGGTCGTACACCCAGCCGTCCACACAGGGCTCCACGTCTGACTCACTCGTGTTGGGGAAGGTCCCATTCAGGTGCAGGAGCTGCCACTGGGGATGGATGAAGCGACGACATTTCTCTGGCCTCATGTTTGAGTCCAGTGGGATGGAGATTCTCAGGAGGGCATCTTGGCTGAGGATCTCAGTGCCGTTACCAGAGACAGTGTCATTGTCGAGGATGTGGACCCAGCAGCGGTGACCAGGGACGGCTGCCGTGAAGTTCTCCAACAAAATATGAGGGTACACCATGAGGTTGGAGAGACAAAGGAAAACCATCTGAAGGATCTGGAATTTCCCCAGGCCTCCAACTTGATCCAGGAGGTCCTGAAAGGCCATCGATGCTGAAAAAGTGATTGCCAGTGGAAGGCAAAATGACTTTATTTAGAAAAATTCAAAGAGAAAAAGGTCTCCATTCACTAAGTCACACCAAGCGTGCATTGGTTCTGACTCCACTTTTTCCTCAGTGGGCCCCGCTTCACCTCCACCAGGGCCACAGAAGCTGATTCTCCAAATTGTTTGAGGATCAGGTGGGTAGCCGTTTTCTTTAAAGTCCCAGAGAAGTATTTTGCTGAGATGCTTCCAGCAGTTGACAACCAGCACTGTTTAAAGGTGTACTTTGTGAAAATTCTTTTCGTCAGCAATGCCCTGAAGTGGCACTGGACTTTCATCCCCACATCTGTAAATAACATAAAATAAACCTGCTACATGAATCCCAGTTCTCTGCAGAATGTATCACTTGTGAGACTCAAAAGGAAACCGTTTTTTTATTTTCCTGTGAAAAGTACTGAAAGTTTAGTGCTTGGCTTATGTAGTACTGAATTTTGATTAAAAGAGTTAATGAAAATAACTCTGAGTAAACGAAAGCAAGTGAAGTATGGTGCAATCCTTCCCTGTGGAAAGTGACACTCTGCTTCACTTCAAATCATTCCACGAATTCACACTAAAAATAAGTTAACTCCAAATGTGGGCAGAGTGGTAGTGACAGAGGGTAGAGGCTAAGCCAGTGGTAAGCTCCTAAAGAGGTTGACTTCCACAGGCTTACTGATTCCTTCAGATAACATTTGTGAGGACTGTTTCTGTGCTAGGAATACAGCAGTGGATAAGACAAGGTCAAAGGGTCTTATCCTGCAGTGGGTGACAGAGGAACAGAAATAATGACATTATAAAAACTACACATGGCTAACGCACAATGGGCTATGGAGGAATTGAGAAAATACGGGAACAGTCATGCTTCTTGGTATTTACCCAAATAAGATGGAAACTTATGTCCACTCAAAACCCTGCACATGGATGTGTGTAGCAGTTTTCTTCATTACTGCCAAAATCTGGACACAATCGAGGTGTCCTTCAGTGGGCGAAGGGATAAATAAACTGTGGTCCATCCAGACAAGGGGATATCACCCTAAAAAAGAAGAAAAGAAAAAAAACGATCTATCAGGAGAGGAAAAGACATGGATGAGCCATCAGTGTAAATTACTAAATCAAAGAAGCCAATCTGAAAAGGCTACATGCTGTTCCTCAAAGGCCGTTACACTGTCTTGGAGAATCCGCCAGTGTTTTCTTTCTGCTCTTCGTGTGGCATAACCCCTGTTGCCCCAGCTTCACGTTTGAGAATTCTGTTTTGCTGCCATTTCAAATCTACCATTGAGACATTTGGTGGGTTTAGCACTTCAGCAACTGTATGTCCCAAGTCACGAGTTCTCTCTATTGACATAACCTCATAGACAAGTCATTGTTCTCATGCCTGTCCTTCGTTCTCAAACATATTTTGTGAACATATTTAATAGTGGCTTTGGAGTATTTTTTCTGCTAAGTCTAATATGTGGGAAAACTTGGAAACCATAATGATTACTTCATTTTAGAACATTTTCATCACCTCCCGAAAGAAACAGTTCTATTGACTATTAACATGCAATCCTGATTACCTGCACCCAAACTCTGGCAACAATGATACAATTTCTGCCTGGATGCGTGTGTCTCTTTTTGAAAGAAATCAATCTCCTTAGGGCCTTTCCACTGATTTTGATGTGGTGTTTGTCCTTAATTTGGGAAGATGCTCAGCCACGGTTACTTTCAAGTTTCCACTGGTCCTTTCCCTCATTCTTCTCTCTTGACATTCCCATTACAAGAATATTATGCTGTTTGCTGGTGTCTCACAGTTACCTATTCTGTTACATTTTAAAATTCTCTTTTCACTTTGCATTTAAGTTTGGAAGGTTTCCACTAACCAGCCTTCAAGCTTATGGATTCCTTTTTTATTATTCAATTAATTAACTTATAGCGTATTATTACTTTCAGAGGTAGAGTTCAGTGATTCATCAGTTGCATATAACACCCAGTGCTCATTCCATCATGTGCCCTCCTTAATGCCCATCTTTTTGTGAGGATACAAATGGCATCTTTCTTACCCTTTATAAGTCAGAGCAGAAACCTGAAGTCTTTTTCTCTAATTTTGTTAGACTGAGTTCCAAAAGCATAGTAAAACAAAAGACAAAAACTAGCCTGTGTGAAATTCAGAGTTGACAACTATAATGTATTATGTTCAACAATACAAATAGCATATTTGGTAATTTTGCAATTTATTTAAAGTAAATGCAATTGTTTGTTCAGTGGCATTAAAATAAATCTGACCCGAATGGCCCTACTTAGACCAAATATTTCTACTAGCTTTTTAGAGATGATTAACATCAGTGCTGTATGTATTTGAAAAGTCAAGTAGTTTGTAAGTTTGTATTATTAGATGATTCATTATTACCTCTAAGAATACCTCCTGCAACATAAATTCCCAAATGCTTGTATTGGCATTCATAGTCTTCTATACAGAAACAATCCAGTTTCTCTACCATGTAAACATACAATTAAAGTCATCTTAATAGATAACTGAGAAAAATCATAGTGCACTAGAAACTGATATATAGCTTCAGTTTGTAAGATTTAAATGCTTGCTTTTAGAAAATTAGCCAGAATACATAACATTCTGTGCAAAGAAAACCAGAAAAATTCTGGATGGTCATAATAGATCACACCACATAACTTAGAATGAAATTGTGTTCTTTATTCAAAGTTACTTTCCACTTTTTTCGTTCCTTTGACAACATTAATTTGTGAAACAAAGATTAGATTCTGTTCAGCTGCCACCAGTTATATTTACAAAATGTTTATTTTGTAGCTGGAAGTTTATTTTATTTATTTATTACTTATTTATTTTATAGCTAGGAGTTTGCGCTTTTTAAGGCAAGCTTGACTCTTCACAAATGTCTGTAACTGAGGCACAGAATAAGCCATTGCAACCCCACATTGACAGATTATCGGATAGAGGCAGTGTCCCTGGGGTGTAACATTGAACAATATACCTTCCTTTGACCAAGGGCAATTCCAAGGGCTAAATCCTGCCATGAGCCACCATCTGTCAAAACTCCCAGCGGCTGGGGATATCTCAGTGGTGTAACATAACTACCCACACAGTCCATCTCATGTGCTGGGTGAAGCATATGATTTATGTAATAAATTCAATCACCACGAAGTAACTCCTTTCAGGGAAAACCTACAAATGCAGCTGATCTCAGGTCTGTGAGTGTTATTCATTCTCTCTCTCTCTCTCTGCTATAACATATTCTAGGTACCCCTTATAGTCCTGATCTATGAGTCATACCAGGAGCAGTGGCCTAATCTTTGAAAGGTCAGACTTTCTACACATCATGCTCTTTCAAGGGGCTGGCAAGTTCCCATGTCCCTTTACCATCAAAGTTGGACAGGGAGGTACCACGAGTTGCCCCCCAGTGGAACAACTCTGGAGGAAAAGAATATGTAGGCATACTAGAAAGATCAGCTGTACCTCCTGTTGATGTTGAAGGTTTATTAATCCAGTCCAGTTGGTGACTCCTTTCCTTGACTTCTAGCCTCTTAGCCTAGGAAACGGATGTGACTGTGGGGTAGGCATAATTTAATATATGATGCTCTTCCTGTGTTTCCTGGTGAAAATGTTCCCATTCTGGATACCAAGACTTCTATGCTCATATACATAGCCTGATTTGCAGGGACAAAGGGAACAAAATCCCCAAGTGGAGTACTAGGAGTTTGGTAAACAGGGTATTTCAACTTGTACCATTTTGCTCCCAGAACTATTTGTTCTATCTATGGGGAATGAAGGACCATAGAGTGGTCATTGATTTAGAGTATGTAATTCGATTTGGAAATAATTTCCAGGTTTTGCATACTATCATCTCCTAGCTGTCTCCTCAGTGCACTTTAAATTTAACAAAGCCATCCCATTGCTCTATGATCCTGGCAGTTTCCATGTGGTAGAGTGTGAATTTCAACCAGGGGATCAGAGATCTGGTGGTCATGAACCCACTGCCATGCCTTTTTTTCACACCACATGTCTTCTTTGGCTCGATGAAGTGAATGAATAAGTTTATGTTGGTGAATCAAGTGCTTCTCTGTGCCTTTGAACAGTTATTCTAGCTGAGTCGTAAAGGCAAGAAAGAGAAATACTTAGCCAGAGTCTGGGTTGATTCCAGTCAAGATGAATCACTGCTCTTTGGTCTTGAAAGAGATCTGATATGACCAGTTTGGCATCCCTGTTCTGGTTGGTCTCCTGGAGAAATGGCAACGTGCTGTTGATCTAGCATTGACATATTATTGACACAGCCTTTTGACACTCAGCAGTGGAAGTAGCTAATTCAGACTTAGTCAGTGGGCACCCATGTTGTTGGGTTTATGCATAGCTTCTATCCCTACTGTTCTTTGTCCTGGATATTGGTACAGATTTTGGTACTGTAATATGGAGTTCTACCTCTCAGTAACAAATACCTAAAAACATAGAAGTAGGTGGCCTTAAAACTTGGTAATGGGTAGAAGCTGGAAGGGTTTTGAAGTACATGCTAGAAAATGCCTAGATTGTCCTGAAGAGACTGTTGGCAGAAATATGTATGTTAAAGGCAATTCTTTTGAGAGATCAGGAAGAAAAAAAGAGAGTTTTAGAGAAAGTTTTTTTGATCTTAGAGAAGGCATACACCATCATGAATAGAGTATTGGTAGACACGTGACTGTTAAAGATGCTTCTGGTGAGGTTTCAGATGGACAGACCATGTTACCGGAAATTGGAGGAGAAAAAAACCTTGTTATAAAATAGTAATGAAGTTGGTTGCATTGTGTTCTAGTGTTTTGTGAAAAGTAGAACTAGTAAGTGATGAACTTGAATATTCAATGAGGAGGTTTCTAAGCAAAGCATTGAAGGTGCAACCTGGCTTCTCTTTGCTTCTTATAGTAAGATGGAAGAGGAGAGAGATACATAGAAGAAGTAGTAAGCAAATAGTAGCCAGAACTTGAATATTTGGAAAATTCTTAGCATAAACATATTGCAAAAAATGAGAAAGAATGTTCTGGAAAGAACATCAGGAGTGTGGCTGGGCCACCTCTTGCTAAAGTGATTTCAGGTGTGACCCATAAAATCAGTCCCCATCACTGCAGAAGTCAGGGGGGAGATGTGGTTAACAAGGAAAGATCTGGGTAGGACAGGTTGTCTAATGGCTCAGACTCCTGCGGATTGCTTGGGAGGCCAACACATTTTTAGAGAGTTTTATCCTAGCAGAAACACTGCAAGCCTGGACTGAAGATATGAGAAAGAGGGAGAAAAGAAGGAATGCTGTTAGACTCCTGG